CGAATTTTAAGAAGAGTTAGGTGGTATTGAGGAGAAATTTTGGACGTGCTTTATGGTTAGCAGTAGAGTTGAGTGACGACGATATTTGAGTGTATTTTCAGCCAGCAACAACCCAACTGGAGACTTTCGAGCAGTTATATAACGGTGCATGTCATTTGATAGAAGCGGAAAAATATGAACAAGCTCTAAAGATGTTACAGAAATCAGAAAGTTTGTCTGTTTATATTCTTCTCATTTCGACGCATCAATTGATGGTATTGAGCTGGACTCAGGAAATCTTAAAAAAGAGAGACTTCGAGAGAATAATCTTGATGATTCTCTCACTAGATAACTTGTTGAAAGTGATTGATTCTGAAGAATACAGCCCATATTTACGATTAGATTGAATGTGGAATATTGTTAGCGAAAAGAAACGAAACGAAATCAAAATGGAAATAAAATTGAGACTGAAAATTTGAATATGTAGAGATGTGTGGTGAAACGTTGGGCGAGGAGGGATTGTCCGAAGAAGAGATCGAAGAGGAGCTCTCAGTGATTCGAGTGCAAAAAGCGTTTGTGATGCAGAAATTGGGACAACACGATGAGGCGTTGAAGATTTATCTGCGCATTCAAGAACTGAAGTAGGTTTGCGTGGTTTGGTCCGAGCAAGTTTTTGAGTGATATTGAAGTGAGATTCAATTTGTGAATTGTTCGGAAATATTACTCGATTGATGTAATCGTCAAAATCTGGAGCGTTCAATCAGTGTAATCGTATTTTTGAGATGATAACGCATGTAATGATTGAATGGATGTGTCTGGGTTTGATTTACATTTGTTTCGACGTGTATATTTGTCATTTGTAGGTGAAGTGCATTAAGTTTCATTAAGTATTTGTTTTGATTAGTAGTGACATTTGATAATTTAAGTCCATCAGACCGAAGTGTGCTCGCGACAGCAATCAACAATATACCGTCAGCACGTCGCGAACAGAATCTAATGGAGGCCAGAAAGAAACTGAAAGTGGCACTGCAAATTGAGCCATCCAAATTGACGACTCGTCAAAGAAGAACGCTAATGCTTAATCAAGTAATCGTTTTAATTTGTAAATATTGTGTTCTTTGATAAGTATTATTCATGATCATTATTATTCTTTTATAAGGACATTTGTGATATTCATTTGTTATTACCTTATCTTATTATTATTATTATTATTATTATTATTATTATTAATTATTATTATTATTATTATTATTATTATTATCGTTTTTATGGTCACCATTGATTCACTAATTGATCAGTATTGTTATGGTTATTGTTGTAGTTAATATAGAATTGGTAGAGATGGATGAATAATTGCAGGCATTGGTTCATTTGCACTCGAATCAAAAAGAGCCTTGTCGTCGATGTCTTGAGCAAATCTACGAGCGATACGGACACATCGAGGAGGCGCTCTTGATTGAAGCAGCTTTACATCTACGATTCAAAGACACACAAAAAGCGCTGTCAGCACTGTTGAACGCGAAACAGCTAACCGATCAAATTAGACTCTCAAAGGTGCAAATCAGTATAAATGAAGGTTTGTGCAGGAGTTTTACTTGGTCTTGATTTTGAATCGCATATTGCAAGTTGTATCATATGGTGAGTTGTTGTGCGGAAACGTTTTGTGCAGCAGGAACTTTTTGAAATTGTTTATAAAAATTTGAATTATTCAGAGTTTCGAGAGAGTAATTAATAAGATTTGATATGCGAGGGAATGGCGACTGTTTCATTTGGTAAGTTGTAAACTGAATTTTGGTTTGTTGTGCACTGAACATTACTGAGTAATTGGATTGAATGATGAGTGAGTTTTGTATGGAATTGGATTTTGTTTTTAAGGAAAACTGGAGGAAGCATCGAAAACGTTGGAAAGTTTGCCGTCGGAACTGGCGAATCGCCCTGCAATTCTGCAGTTACGTGTGGCTTTGCTGTTAGCAACAGATCAGAAAAAGGTGAGATTCACTTGGAGTGTTGTAATATATCGTTTTCAATGAATGTTTTATTATTTGGAAGAAGTTTTGTGGAAATTTTTGTTTTTGAAATATATGATATATGGAATAATAACAGATAATTGGATAATAGATACAAGCCGGATCATAGCGTAGCCTGGCTCAGACTCACAACATTAATGATATTGGTACACCACTCGGTTTCAAGCAAAACTTTCTTCCGCGAACGGGAATCGAACCCGCAATATTGTGAGCCTGAGCCAGGCTATGATCCGGCTTGTATCTATTATCCAAT